GGCATACGATTAACCTTTTACTATTTTCAGTGCAAAAAATAGCCAAATAATTAGATAAAAATATTTATAACTAAATACGAATATATACATGAAACAAATATTAGAATAAAAATATTTTTACATACAGGTAAGAGCAAGCTAAAGACATACCGTATCCTCGTGACCAAGGATTTTGCATCGTTTGCAACGAAACTGACACAATGCCTTCTTGCTGATCGGGCAATCGTCAGTGAAGTGCCCAAATGAAAAGCATATCAGACAAGCTTTATCCGGGCAGAACCTTCCAGTGTGAGAGCTGCTGCCGCATATGTAACAAACACATCCCTGAAAAAAAGCAAAATGAGGTGAACAGTCAGACGGTCAAGAAAGAAACAGTTACCACATCGAGATCAAAAGCACGTAGTCGCCGGATAAACCTGTCATAATGAATCCTGTTCCCAAATTTGCTCCGATCGTTTGAGTCATAGTAGCGGTACCGAGAACCCATTTTGTCCCTTAAATCGATCCGCCAGAGATTTGGATCATCTGCAAAACAACAGCTACAATGATGCTAAATTCTACTCTCGACTCTGTGCAGTCGATAACTTTCAACCATTCTTCCTCTTGAAATTAGTACATACATATCCTGAATTATTTTCATTCAAATCTACCATAAAACTGCGCTCTTATAGAGAGAAATTTCCTTATAATCATATCGCTGTGAGTCCAGAATATTACTGCCTTTTAGAGTATTTAATTTAAGCTTCGTGTCAGGTTTTCACAAATATCGCAGTGGTACTGGAGAATAATGCCAAAAGCATTTGGTCACGGTATTCGATGCGAACCATCGGGCTCTGTATGCACAGGAAAGATATCTGCAAAATCTGGAGCCACGGTCTCCATAACGGTTTGGTTGCATTCCCAGCGTGACGAAAATTTGTCATATCTGCAAATTCTTTCGAGTACGGAATTTATCACGAATCTTAATCCATTTCAGTGCAGTCAGCCAGGAAACATGTATCAAGTCGCTGAATTGCGAATAATAGTGAGAGCACTGTGTCCATGTTGTCCTAACAGAGCATACGTGACATATGGCCATAGTGCAATTAGCCCTGACTGACTTTCATAAAATTAAATTTAAAAAATCGAGGTAAGATCTGGTTAATTGGCATGACACAAAGAGTTCTATCAACTCCTTAATATCACAATATCGTTAACTGACTCGATGTTCAAGGACAACATAAAGGCTCTGGAGAGCTAGAGATTTCATTTTGCCTCAGGCATTCAATCACTCAAATTTCCATCGTTGCCTGTTCTTCTCATGCGAAGTCTTAAACTAGAACTGCGAAACGACACTTGCTAGGTAACTGGTGAAATGTCATAGAACATATAGGTATTTGTCACAACGCGAATAATAGGGTTATTCGTCCAAAGAATTCCATTAACATGTTACATTACATTACTCATCCATGATCAACCGATCATTGTCGCAATTCCACAAATATATCCATAGAATGTAGCATGTCGAAGATATCTGATAAGGTCAGACGGATATCGCACCTAGAATATCGTTAACATGTTTTTTTCTCGAGCAACTGGTTAGATCATGCCACAAAAATATTTCCATTGGTCTGGTTCTCTAACGCTTTGGCGAATGATCGCAGAAAGGAAAGCGAAACGGCTAGCATTTGCTTAACCGACAGGCCGAAGTCCCCTGGGATGACCAAAAATGACCTGCGACCAATGCCTCGAAGAAATCTACTTCTGATTAAGGCTTTTTTCTGCTGAACCTCATATGCTGGAACAAAATCGGGAACGTGGAAACACTGTCTGACGCTACTGCCTCACGACCCAAAAGCAGTCATCGACAATGACTGCTTCTAATCATTTTACCTTCTTGCATGCCTCCTAATTTTGCATCTCATGCCGTCACTCGCTGGCGCCATGAGGCTGCAGGACTCTGTCATTATTTTGTTACCACTTCTACTGATTAGCTAATAGGCCTGATGCACTTCATCGGCTTTTAGGATCAGCGGTGAGGAATACAAATGACGCATGATGAATTACAGCCTTCCTGCAAGAGCGTCAGACATGGTACTAGTAGATCGTCAGAGCAGAAATAACTACGTCCTGGTTGCTACCATTTGTACCGTGATGAAGCAGCTAGGCAACTCATGTCACCATCTCATGTCATTCTCGATTGCAGAGAAAATGCTCCAAACGACATGTCTTTAAGCCTGAACAGACGCCTATCAAAAATTTATGGTACTAGTACTGCAGGACCCACAATGTTGGTCAGTACTTGATCACGAAGCCTGCATGAACAAAATCAAGATCATCGTCATATATTCTACGTTTAAGAATCTTTAATTTATTCAAGCTACATAATGGCGAGCGACTAGTAAGGAATGGTCAGTCGTTAAATATAAAAATAAAACGATTGTTTGATCGCCTGAAGTACACTCTTTTTAGACGCCAATTCCACCTTAGTAATCGCACACTGTGACGATACAAGGCATTGAATTTATACAGAGAATCTTGAAGAAACAGCATAAGAAAGAAACCGTCTTCCTTGGAAGTGATTAATCAACCACTAGACCACAAAACAAATCGAAGAGAACACAGGTGCATTAAAACATTACGTAAGAAATCGTGACCAGAGAGAAAACTGTTAAATTTATACATTAATGTATTATAATTCATAACGGAGAAGCCAGCTCCTAAACTGGTCAAAACAGCAGTTGCTAAGTGCATGGCTCAAACAGAATGATCATGTATTTCATGCACTGGCAGGAATTAATTAGCGAATCATCGCACAAAAACATCTGCAGGTCATCGAGTGAGTGGAATGCTTTACGCAACGGATGTAACAGTCAACAGGAGTAAATCTACCGGATCTAAGCCTGCACTTCTCTTTGATACAGTTCATAGACTCCGTTCATAAATGCATCATATCACAAGGGAAACAAAAAATTCTAAGGCTCTATTCAGAGTAAAGCACCTCTATATTTAAAACTTATGAGGAAAACTGATAGGTATCTAAGGTAACTAAAATTCAAAGCTACTACTTTGGTTTTCAGAAAATCAGCGAAAAATGAAAGCCGGATGGAAAAAACGGAAGCCGCAAAATCAACCAACTTACCAGGTAAAAGAGACAGTATCTGAGGTACCGACATAGTCAGAAGAGGAGAGGCAGTTTCGTCGAATTTGAAATCGGTACACGAGACGTTAGGTGAATAAGTATTCAAATTCGGCGAGTATCCCTGCAAGTTAGACATGTCCAAGCTCTAAAAATTAAGCACATATTAAATTAACAGAAAAACAGTGCGTGTATTAAAATTAGTCCAAATTACTGAATCAATGAATTAAAAATCAATGAATGAGTTATAAGAATAAATTTAAAAACCACCGCTTGAAATAAAATTCACAAAACAATACTCTCAGCTAAATATACTAGTTTTTGTCAACTTTAAGCCATAAAGCCATAGCTTTTCAGCAGCAAAGAAATAAAGGTCCCTGACAAAGTTATATAGAACCAACTTTATATTTTGCCAGGTCGGAGTAGAAGAACTGCAGCGCAGATTCAACTGCTTTGCACCTATGCTCCGTACCGAATCGTATCCATATGCACCTTGTACCTCGATATTAACCAAAATTGTATGACCGAAAATGCACACTTTTGAAATCAGATTCATTTCGTGGATTAATGGCGTGACGATGCTCGGCAAGATTTACAGAATAGCAATGTTTACTTATGAACCGATCACGGTTCATATGGCTTGGACATGTGAATAAAATATGAAGAAAATCTGGGAAGTGACTTTGCAACACTGCTTCGCTGAGTCGACAGCAGCTATGTGACTAGTATTAAATGAAAACTCTTGTTTCCTTCTCAAAGAGTGTTGGTCATTTGTCAATGCTGAAACGAAAAACAGAGCCTCAACAGAAGCTCGAACCCTGCATCCTTCGATTCTGAGTTCGACACTTCACCGACTGAGCAACCCCGGTCTTTATCGGCATCAGTATCAAGGATCACCTCGCCAGGGCTCCAAGAGCTTCATGGTAAACTAACGTTGCACCATTTTAGCTTATTTCCATTATGCTGGAAATTTTAGAAGCCTATCGTTCAGAAACAGAATCAACCAATGCACTTATAAAATAAATCATTTTCACAAATGAAATACCCTATCAGATTTTTCCAGGAAATGAAATTCCTTGTCAATCACCAAAAGTCCATTACATATTAATTGAACAATAGAATTATTGCACTAAATACCATGTCAGAGGAGCTGCTGGAGCAGCAGACCACACTTTCGTCGCCCGAAGAATCTAGTATCTGAACTGAACGCTCCGAGTCGCTCACCAGATCAACGGTTGAAGCATCCTCCTTT